CATGAGTCCAAAAATTATGGAAAAGTAAAAGAAAAGATTCTTTCATTGTTTTACAAACCCTCCCCCAGGTCCCCTCCACCATGTAGCCTTCGCTCTAGTCTCCTGTGATGACAGAAATACCCAGTTATATCTCTCTTTTGTCTGTGTGGTTTTTTATCCCCCTCCCTACGTACTTACTTGGCTGTGGTAAAACCCATATCTCCAGAACTGATAAGGTGGAATCCTGTTAGAGAATGGAAATGCAAATAGTTTACATTCATAGCATCAGAAAAGTGCCAATACTGAACTTTGTCAGAAGTGAAAATTTCCAAAATTGGAGCAGCAAGACAGTCTTGTTGAATTCCACATCTCACAGATTTTACCACAAGGAGATGTGCACTGACAGAGAGAGAGGTTTGATTCTATGAATATAAAAAGAGAGAAGGCTTGATTGATTGATGGTTAGATTTTTGAGGAATTGGTTCACACAATGCAAGAACTGGCAACAGGCTAGTGAGCCTGACAGTCTTGTGTTCCACTGTTGGTAGATTGGGCTCAGCACTGAGGAGTGAGAGGAATTCTGGTAAAATACCTATTTATAGTCTGGAGGCAAGACTACTCCCTCAGGAAATCTCCCTTTTTTGCTAGTAAAACCTTCAACTGATTATGTGAGGTTTAACCACATTAGGGAGAGATTGCTTTATTGCAGGCCAACTGAATTAATCATATTGCACTGCTTCATACCAATATCTAGACTAGTGTTTTGAACAAGCACTTAGCCATCGCTTAGCCAACGTGACACATAAAATTAACCATCGCACTAAATATGAAATATGGTGAACAGTTTTGCTCAGTTTGTTTTGGACAGTAGAGCAGTGTTTTACAAGCAGAGGGAATCTCAAAGTTCATCTAGTCCCACGTCTGCAGTTTATAAATGACTAAACTCAAGCCCAGCGAGGTGAAGTTCCTTGGGTATGGAAAGCTAAGATTGGACCTCAGATTTTATTTCCGTTTGTGGGGAGAAATACACCATGCTTGATAAAATAGAGTTGGCAAAAAAGTGAAATAGTGTCAAGACAGATTGGCACAGTGGTTGTAGCAGTGAGCTCAAGTGTGACAGCCATTATGAGGATGGAGCAGGGTTAACGGATTTTGTTCTGTTGGAAAAGGGTTGCTATGAGTTGGAGCTGACGCACCAACATCAAAAAACCAATCTTAGAACCTACTGCATGATCTAAACTTGAGTTCATTTACTTGGTGGCATGTCCTCTGAATGCTTCTAGATTCCTTTTTTAACTAATTTTGAAACATATATGTTTTAAACAAAGAGACTCCTAGAGTCTTACGGAAACCCAGCCCACATCAGGAAGAGTACATGTGTCTTTGAACTTCAAAATCTATTGCCTGTACACTGTACAGATAGAGTAGATATAGGTCCTATTACAAGTTACAAATTAACTTGATTTTAATATTTCATGTAAAATAGATAGCTTAAATACTCAAGAATTTTAAAAGTAAACTGTTTATTCCATAGTGTATCTGTAGATTTTATGTGCAGGACCTTTGTTTCCTCTTTTGTTTTTTATTCCCAGCATGATATACTATATGATTATCTGATTCAAAGTGGCCAAGGATAGTCCGTCTCATCTCTCTAAAGCCTAATAACTTGTTGATGTTCATGTGTTCCATTTCATTTTTTTTTAACTTCTAGTTTTCAGCATTCAAGATAAGTACATTCCACGTTCTAATTCTTAAATGATATTTGTCATTATTTTTCCTTACTTCAACTGACTTCCAATCTGGGCTCAGACACTGCACTACTATACCTATCTGCTTTCCTAATCTGGGAGCTCTGTTAACACCTGTCCACTTTGGGTAACCCTTACTGCAATTGATACACCAGTGGCATAGCTTTCAGTATCAGAGCAACCTACAAGTTATCTCAGTCCAGCAAACTGACAGACAAGTGCTTAAACAGTTAGAACAATGTTCTCCCCAAACACAACAAGCTGACAGTTTAGTTTGTAGCTCTGATAGCAAATCTAGTCTTCACACCAACTAACTTTTTTTTTCTATAATTATATTTTATTAATTTTCATAAACATTTACAGAGATTTTGGGCTTCCACTCATTCATTGTTGCACTATTCTCTCTACCCTCCTCCCAGTTTGTTCTTGTCCAAATGCCACAGTGCTTGTAATCACAAAGGCCCACCCACTGAGTACTAATTGGTTTAAATAAGAGGTTTCCAGGCCACAGCTGCTTGTTAATTAAGCAAACCTACCAGACAGCTCACACCTAATTGGTAATTAAATAAAAACAACCTGCATTCCAGGGATGCATCCTGACTCCATACCTTTTCAGTCCAAATGAGAAACAGATCTTCCCAGAGGCTGGGCTCTATGAGGAGAATGTGACATCAGGATTGGAGGAAGATTCATTAACAACCTGTGTTATGCAGATGACACTACCTTGCTTGCTGATACTAAGTAGGATCTGAAGCATTTGCTATAGAGGGTCAAGGACCACAACCTTCAATATGAATTGAAGTGCAACGTCAAGAAGACCAATATTCTGACCACTGGGCCAGTTGGCAGCATCATGAGAGACAGAAAAGAGATTAAGATTGTTAACAGCGTCAGTTTGCTTGGCTCCACAATCAACACTCTTGGTACCAGTAACCAGGAAAGCAAAACATTAATTGCATTGGAAAAGTCTGCTGTCAGGGATATCTCCAGAGTACTGAAGAGCAACAATTTCAGTATGGAGACTAAGGTGCAGATGATCCAGGTCATGGTCTTCGCAGTTACTCGCTGTGCATCAGAAGCTGGACAATGACTAAGGATGATAGAAAAAGGATTGACACCTTTGACATCTAGTGCTATAGAAGAGTATCATATATACCTTGGGCTGTTAGGAGAACAAACAGGTTAGTCTGGAGAGCGTGAAAACAGGCTGTTCCTTGTAGGCAAGGATTCTCAAGCTCCATCTGACATAATCTGGTCATGTTGCAAGGAGGGACCGGTCCTTGGAGAGGGACATCATGATTGTGAGGGTGGAGGAACAGCATAAGCGAGGAAGACTCTCTATGAGCTGGACTGATACAGTGACTGGGGTAAACTGGAGTGGATGTGTTGGAGACAATGAAATGAGATTGGCACAGGAGAGAGCAGGGTTCAGAGCTGTTGTACATAGGATCACTATGAGTTGCAAGTGACTCAATGGCACTTAAAACCAATCTTTCAGAATCCAGCTGCTTCAAACAAGAGCCTCTTAGGCAGGCCTCAACCACTTTTATTCACAGCGGCCTCTTCATTTCACTTGGATTCACAATTAACACCCTTGGTAACACAGTCATGAAATCTGGAAAGGCATTACACTGGAAAAGTCTGCAGTTAGGGACCTTACAAAATCATTGAGGAGAAATTATGTTAATTTTGAGAACTAAAGTAAGTTTGATCCTAGCCATGGGCTTTCTGATCATTTGCTATGCATCTGAGTGCTAGGCAATGAATAAAGAGGAATAATTGATGCCCTTAAGCTGTGGTGTTAGATCAGAGCACTGAACATCTCATCAACTGCCAAAAGAGCAAACAAATATGTCTAGGAGAACATGCATCCAGAGTCCTCTTTGAAGGCAAAGATGATGAGGCTTCACCTCACATACTTTGGGCATTTTACTGGGAGGGACTCTTCTTGGAGAGTGACATGATGCTTGGAAAAATAGAGCCTTGACAAAGGAGAGGAAGACCCTCAACAAGGTGGATTCATGTGGTGACTGCACAGTGGGCTCTAAGTGTCAGTGTGAAGATGACACAAGAT